CTATCCGTCGAAGGAATCTTACCCTCAATGAAACGAAATCTGTTGAATCGAAGTCGTCAATCAATTTACTTGGATATGGTATTGAACATGGTGTAATTACTCCCGATCCAGAAAGGCTACGCCCCCTCCAAGAGTTTCCACCACCAGAGAATGCCCGAACCCTACAGAGAGTAGTTGGTATGTTCGCCTATTATGCAAAATGGATACCCCATTTTTCTGACAAGATCAAACCTTTGATGAAGGCTGTAACATTCCCACTGGATTCGGACGCTCTAGCTGCATTCAATACTCTCAAGAAAGAACTTGGGAACGCAGCTCTTCAACACGTAGATGAGAGCCTGCCGTTTGTGGTCGAATGCGATGCCTCGGAAGTGGCGCTCTCTGCTACGTTAAATCAGGCTGGCCGACCAGTTGCATTCATGACGAGGATGCTCCATGGCAGTGAATTACACTATCCTGCAGTAGAGAAGGAGGCAATGGCTATCGTAGAGGCGGTTCGCAAGTGGCAGCATTTTCTTGCTCGTCGTCATTTTACTCTGAAAACGGATCAGCGTTCGGTAGCGTTCATGTTCGACAGCAGAAAACGAACCAAGATCAAGAACAATAAGATCCAGGCTTGGCGACTCGAGCTTGGTTCCTTCAGCTATACAGTGGAATATCGGCCTGGGAAGGATAATGTTGCTCCTGATTCATTCACACGCGCATTCTCTGCCTCGATGTCATCAAACAACCTCGAAGAAATCCATATTGGGTTGTGTCATCCAGGTGTAACTCGAATGTTACACTTCGTAAAGTCCAAGAACCTTCCATACTCCACTGAAGAAGTTAAGAAAGTGTGTTCAGCATGCCGAAGTTGCGCCGAATTGAAGCCTCAGTTTTATCGTCCGCAGCAACCCGGAAACCTCATCAAAGCCACACAGCCTATGGAGCGACTTAGTATCGACTTCAAGGGTCCACTACCTACTGCTACTCGTAATGCATATATACCCACTGTTGTGGATGAGTACTCCCGTTTCCCATTTGCCTTTCCATGTCCAAATATGCAATCCTCAACCGTCATCATGTGTCTGAATCAGTTATTCAGTCTTTGTGGCATGCCAAACTATATTCACTCAGATCTTGGTACCTCTTTCCTTTCTCGGGAACTAAAGGACTATCTAACGAAACGAGGAATGGCAACGAGTAGAACTACGCCGTACCATCCAATTGGCAATGGTCAAGTTGAACGATACAATGGTATCATCTGGAAGGCGGTTCTCTTGCTCTAAGGTCAGCTAATCTACCAGATTCAAGATGGGAACTCGCACTCGCTGATGCACTTCACTCGATTAGATCACTTCTCTGTACGTCAACTAATGCAACTCCACATGAAAGGTTTTTTAACTTTCATCGTCGTTCATCATATGGTGTGTCCCTGCCATCATGGATGCAACCTGGTCCCGTATTGCTACGTCGATTTGTTCGAACAAGTAAGAACGATCCACTTGTGGATGAAGTGGAGTTAACGGATGTTAACCCAACCTACGCACGTGTACGTTACGCTGATGGGAGAGAATCGTCTGTTTCTCTACGTGATCTGGCTCCCTGCCCGCCTTCTTCCATCCAGAATGGAACCCCCCTTGAACCTCAACCTTCGCAAGAACCCTTACCTACATCTGATGGATTTCCTCCAACGCCAAACTCTACGACTCTGCAAGTTCCTGAGATTCAGTCAGAAGCGGATAATGCTGAACACGAGTTGTTAACAAAAGAAACTGGTCTAAGGCGTTCTACTCGTGTAAGCAAACCACCGGCTCATTACGGTTGGTAAGGTTGTGAACTAGTAACTCTATGAATTGAACTATAAAATTTGAACCTTATTGTTAGTTATAGTACTTACATATGACAATTATTATTAATGTAAAGTACTTGGGAACTTTCTATTGTTTTAGAACTTTTAGGGAGGAAGAATGAGATAATAACGACATTACTGTAGTTATATGAAGTAGCTGGCAATTGTTTATGAGCCCGCAATAGTTATGTTTATATAAGGCGGTGTTTGACCACCATTTTGTAAGATTTGTACTTTAGAGTTTATAGCAAGGTTTTAAGTTGAATAAAGCCTGATTTTACTTTGCTTTACAATTATGGTTTCGACACACGGTTTGTCAAAAATAGAACTTACATGTTCCAGAAAAACGGCATTTTTCTATCTGCTGACATTGCTTAATGTCCAAGGGCGCTGAAGTCCACCACAGGGGCAAGAAATATCCAGTAAGTAGGCTTGAAAAGTTTATATCAATAGAAGCAGTAGAAGCTAGTATACATAAACGATATGCCTGACTCTTTAAAATATTCAAATCCATCCCTCTACGCAGATGACACAGAAATTTATCTATCCTCTAAAGATTGTGATGACATTGTTATTAAAACAAGACGCCTACTCAGGCGTTCACTCCGCCTGCCAGACTGCGTTGAAAATGGGGACAATGTAGGGTGCGACGGAAAAGGGAAGCCAAATATAAGCATTCAAAGACAATGCAAGTTGGTGTTCATGGCATTCAAAGATAAGTTGGCATTCATGGCATTCAAGGTTAAGTTGGCATTCATGGCATTCAAAGTTAACTTGGCATTCAAAGGAGCAATGGCATTTACACACTTCTTTGAATTTTCATAAGAAAGTGCCATAACCTATAAGAGACAGAAATAGGATATTAATTCTGACACACCAATTCTGTTTGGCCCATCATTGTAATAATAGAGGCCCAAAAAGCATGTTTGAGTGGCTTGGTAGGTATTCTGCCCAGAGTCCTAGTAGGGTTGAATTAAATACATTACACAAAACATAGTATCTATTAACACACAAGGGCAGTATAAAGAGCAAAGCAAGCAAACCCAAGCTGGCAGTGAGTTCAAGAAGCTGACGTTTCTGTTATTTGTTAACATGACTATACAGGGTGTCTCAAAAAAACTGCTACCCTTGAAAATTCACCATTGTTCTAATTTGAATGCCTGAGTGCTATCTTGAACTCATGGGTAATTTAAGACAATAAATACTCTTTGCTCTGTGCTCAGTTGAGCCATTTGCTTGACATTCACTAATATGTAATTGAACGATTTTCGTGCAGTTATACTTTTGTATGAACTATTTTCAATTCCCAGGATAAAAAATTTCGCTTTTCAAGGATATTTTAATTCCGAAGATTTTTAATATATGCATCCTGTGAAAACGTTTACGCATTCAGGGCTTCAACAAGGTTCAGGCATTCAAATTAGAACAATGGTGAATTTCTAAGGGTAGCGGTTTTTTTGAGACACCCTGTATATCGTAGATTATATTCTTGTCTTGCAACCAATCCCTTGAGAATTAAAAGAATGTGCGAAATTCAGTAAAAAATAATGAGATTCTTTGTCTTAATACTACCACATGGCTGCCGTTTCTGGTAGTTGCGTACTAAACGTGTATAGTAAATTATAAACACTACAGCTTCAATACTACATTTCCTGAACTCTTCAAAACATTGAAATATATTTAATAACCCGATAGCCTCAACACTACATAGCCTAATCTCTTCAGAACATTGTAGGGACCTTTCACACAAGAATATATTTTGCTAGTCAAGAATATAATATTATTAAAGATCGACATTACGACATACAGTAGGAGTGAATATTTTTATTTATATTTATGACTTTAAAGAATTTCTTGTTGCCAAAATGCAGCATGTACTTCCAAAATTAGAATGTTTAGTATCCCTTACCTCAGTTGAGTCTGGAAGCTTTGTCTTGACATTCATCTTTTTAGTATTTTTCATCGTTTAGTATTTTTCATCGTTTAGTATTTTTCATCGCACAATACCGTTTCGCAGTTCGCAGTTTAGAAAAATACTGTAAGCAGAGCTGTAAGCATGCGCATTACGCTGCCGAATCGTATAACATTATCCACAAATGTCAATAGAAAGTATCTAAATATCATGGAATGTACACATTTATCAAGGAGCCTGTTTGTGACACTGATGACAGTCGACAACCGACAACAGACTCAGGCATTTTTAGACTCCGCACTGCGCATGCGCAGGCAGAGTAATAAACCTTGATCTTGAAAATATTCGAAAATGGATGCTACAAAATAAGCTCCAAATTCATCCGACAAAATCGAAATATATGTTTATTGGATCAGCATATAATATTAAACATAAGGTATCTTGTAACCCAATTCTTGTTAATAACGTTCCAATACACAGGACTGAAAATTTTACTTGCCTTGGTGTCAACATTGACGAAAAATTGACCTAGGAAAAACATATTGATATGATATGTTCAAAAGTCAGTGCGGGAATCGGTGCTATAAGACGTATAAGGCCCTTCGTATCGTCTGCGACACTAAAATTGATGTACAATGCTATTGTGCAGCCCTACTTTGATTACTGCAGCCCTCCCAGGGACAACTGTGGAATAGGCCTCAAGGACAGGTTGCAGAAATTTCAAAATCGGGCTGCAAGAGTAATTTCTAGTGCGACTTGTATATGTAATTCCTCTTTCTTTGTTTTTGTATTTTAATGTTTACCTGTACTGTATATTTCTCCAAATCACGCTCCTCATGGAAATCAGCTCCGAGTTGTTGAAGCCAGCGTGCTTAAATAATTTTTTTTGTATGTATGTATGGGCTGATTGTTGACAAAAGAGACTCGTAGTTATAATAGTCCACCTCTACTCCTCTAGCGTTGGATAATGCGGTTCAGAGAACACTTTCTTCGAAATTTGGACAATAACTCATCAAAGCCTTTTGTTGTGGAAAAGAGGGCGTTAAACTGTTACAAAAGTATAATATTTGCCTGTTAATGAGGCGGCAAAAGGTCAATTTCAACCGTTGTTGTGATCTATCGTTTCCTCAGTTTTCACTTGTTTCCATCCACCAAACTTACGTTACGCAATTTCCAAAATTTCCATTTTCGTTTATTTTTCTTCATCAATTTAGTTAGTGTAGGGTCTGAATTAGTTTTAAGGTAGGGGTTAGGGTAAGTTTTATGGTAGGTTTTAGGGCTAGGATCAGTTACAAGTTAAACTGTTACAAAAAAGTACAGTATTTACCTTTTTTAACAGACAAATATTGTACTTTTGTAATAAGGCCTGAAAAGGTCAATTTGAACTGCATGTTGTTGCATAGTCAATCAAGACATGGTCTGGAAATTCGGTGAACTTGAAAGTGCTTATAATGAGCTGAGATTTTATGTTGAACCGTACTTACACCGTGCACATCCTTTGTTTTAGGTTTGCTAATATAAATAGCATGGTTGAATGATAGATAGAGCTGACACGTTGCTATTGGATGATTTGTCATTATACTAAAACACAATATGGTCATTGACCGTGCACCGTGCACAAAACTGGATAAACGCGAACAAAAAGATAGAAGAAAGACTTTCGCTGTGTTTTCAGACCATGATTTGAAAGACTAAATTAAACTATGCTCTGAGGTTCGCTTATAATTTCATGTGTAAAACCGCAGACTCTCATTAACCGCGGATAGCTCGGATAGCTCACAATTAAATGGCACAAATGAAGTAATAAAAAAAAACTAATTTTGCAAAAAAGAAATTAACAATTACATATGAAATAACATCTACATATTTAAAAAGTTGTCAACTACACTAAAAAAGATTCCTACATTATCATAAATTTAACTATACGTCTATCTCCACCTAGAATGCGCGTTAACCAGGAGTCTTTACAAGGACTCGCTCTTAATTTGAAAACGGACTTATTTAATTTAAATACTGTATATTTGTAGAAATATATACATCTCACACACGCACAAAGGTAATCATCAAAATAATATGATTGTATACTCTTTTTGAACACATGGAGGAACGAGGTATATATAATATATATCATATATCAGGTTACTCTCTCTCCTTTTTGACATCACGTCACGCTTTTTACTGAATTGCCTCCTTAGAAGCCCGGGGGAAAGGTGGATTCCTATAAAAAAGTTGGTAGGCGTACTGGTCGACAATTTTGAAAGTAACCATTAAAGGGACCTGTAGGGCGTGGAAACGAAAATTTTTTAAATAGGGACCAATTTGAACCCCGAAACATAAAAATATAACTTAAAAATCTTGTTAAATACCCTAAAAAATAAAGATACTAGAAGACGCTCAACTCCTGAAATGGACGAAGAGCATACACTGCCACTTTGAATTTATCGTCCCCCTTCCGGAGCATGTAGCGGATATATTTAGACACTATGTGACTTTTTACATCTAATTAATATATAACGGAAAATAACTTGCTGCAAAAGATTACCGATTTGGTAGATAAATCAGCACACTTTCTAATTTGAAAGATACCCCTGTCCGTCGTTTTATTTAATAATGTGGAAGTTCACCAGAGGACGCACATGTACACACGCAGTCATTGACCATGTCTGAATTTTGTCTATGAGTGCTTGCTTTCTATCTCTTGACTTAAAAGAGATCTCAAAATGACTACAGATTGTCTCTAACATGGCCACATCAAATTTGTTTAGTGTTTCGCTGTGGTAACGCTCACACAGGTTGTATGTATCGTAGCAAATTGGATGAGAAATATTTACTTGCTGATTAAGCAATTTCATAAGTTTCTGTCGCTCAGATTCCTCTTGTAAGCATAGAACATCTTTTTCTTGATCTTCTGACAGCTCGTTGAGACCCTGTTGTTTGCGACGCGCTGACAAACTTGTTTCGTAATAATAGGTGAATTTAAATGGCGTCCTATGTTGTTGCCAAGGTTATATATACTATATACTAATATATACACGTTCGTCGTAAACGGAATGCTCAAGTATTAGGT